GGGACACCCCAGGGACACCCCAGTAGGGACAGCTGTGCCCTCCAGATGTCCCTACCATGCCACTGGAGATGTTCCTGCGCAGGGCCCCGGCCGTGAAGTACGTGAAGGCAGCCGAGTTGGCAACGAACTCGGTGACAGCCACCAGCAGCATGGGCTCACGTGCCATGGGCAGTGCCTTGGGCGTCAGTGTGGGCAGTGCCACGGGTAGTGGTGTGGGCAGAGGCAGGGGCAGTGCCACGGGCAGTGCCACCGGCGGTGCTGAGCGTCTCTGCTGGTACATGCCCACCCTGAAGATCTCCCCCTGTGCAGACAGACAGATGGACGTGAGGCTCAGCCAGGGTCCCTCGTTCCTTGTTCCCAAATCTGTCCCAGGGACGCCCAGGGTGGTATTACCTTGAGTGCAATGTCCCCGTGCTCTGCTGTGAAGGCCGGCGGTCCCAGCAGGGAGTGGTCGATGGCAGCAAAGGTGTCCAGCTGGGTGAACACTGCAGGGACAGGAGGGGGGGGGGGAGTTGGACCACCAGCCCCCCCTCTGTCAGCACAGGGGCTGACAGGATCCAGCCCCACAGTGGGGCTGTCCATGTGTCCCTGGGACCACAGTGCTCATCCCTGGTCCTGAGGTCCTCTCACACACCTTTCATGTGCTTCAAGGCAGCATCCAGCTTGTCAATGCCCCTCTGGAGCTCAAGGCAGAGCTGGAAGCAGAGCAAGGCATCAGTGAGCCCAGGAATGGGGGTGCCCAAGCCTCTCGCTGGGCTGGGGAGGACAGGGACACCGACACCCCATGGCACAGGGGCTGAGCACCCACCTGTTTGTTCAGGTGTTGCCGCAGGGTTCTCTGGAGCAGCGGTGCCAGCAGGTTGTAGAGCCAGCTGTGGGGCAGAGTGGGGTGCTCAGATCACCCCCTGGCACCCCCCAGCCTACCACCCTGGCTGGGGCACCGGGATAGGTGCCAGGGACATTCCAGGGACAGGATGGAGCGGGGCATCACCTGTATCCACGGTGGAACTCCATTTGCAGGTCGGTGCCACCGGTGTCACATCCAGCGCTCCACACCGTGGGGCGGCCGCCGCCGTCCTCGCTCACCGCCAGCACCGCTGCCACGGCCAGGTCCCGCATGTGGAGCTCCACGGAGCCACTGTCCTGGCTGGGGACAGCACAGGTGAGCACAGGGACAGCAGTGACATCAAGCCACCCTGAGCCAGTCAGATCCCCCTCCCTGTCCCCACGAGGACTCACATGGCGCCCAGCCGGGCTGCCCAGTCGGCACTGAGCTGGATTTGGGCGCGCTGCACCGTCAGCCTCACCCCCACGTCCTCGGCAAAGTCCAGCGCGGAGTCGTTCATCTGCAGCTCATGGATGTGGATCCTGCACGACACAGGCACGCTGGGCTCATGGCTGTGCCCGGGACAGGGATGGCGACAGAGATGGGCACAGGGACCCCATGGGCAGCTCTTACCGTGGCACAGCGTAGGTGAGGGTCCCCAGGAGCGGGATGTTGTAGGAGCCCGTCAGGTTCAGCTCGTGCTCCTTCTGCAGCGTCGACTGGAACAGCTCCAGCCCAAAGCGGCGACCTGAGGCAAAGTGGGAATTTATGGTGACACCAAGGAAGGGTCTGGGGTCCCCAGAGCATCAGGGGGGCGAGCAGACAGATCCAGGATGTCTCCTCCATCCCCCATCCTTAGTGGTCTGGGCATCATCCCCCCCCTACCCCTGCCCAGTCAGGGGCACAGACCCACCAAACTCCAGCGAACGTCGGGTCAGCCAGGCCTTGATGCCGGGGTTGATGCTGGGGTTGATGCTGGGGTTGGTGATGGTGGCAGGGACGCAGACAGGCAGCAGGAGCAAGAGGCACAGCCACGTGGCACCTCGAGGACGGTGCTGGCACCTGAAGGCTGGAGCAGAGGACATGTCTTGGGGATTCTCCCTCTGCACCAGCAAAGCCAAGACTTATATCGGGGACAGGGAGTCCCAGGTGACATCAGCACATGTGGGGACACCGCAGCACTCCGGCCACCGAAAGCCCAGCCTTGCCCAATGTGTGACTCAAAGGGGAAGCCGGTTCTGCTGTGGTTCCCCACTCGCACCCACCGTGGGAGAGGAGGAAGGAGGGGTCCCCCACTGTCCACTGCTGACCCCCTGCCCCAGGGGTGCCCAGGACCTGGGGGCACCCACCAGGGCTCCCCACGGGGGCATGTGACTGGCATGTGGGGACACACAGAGACATGGCTGGTCACCAGGGGCTTTGGTTGTGCCCTGCCTGAGGGCACAGGAGTGGGGGCACACGGTGAGCTGGTCCTGGGATGGAGGGGCTGCACCAGGGCAAACAGGGCTAGACACACTTGCACTGGGGAGCAGCAGCTGTTCCCACTTCAGGAAGGGCTCTGTGTAAGGTCAGCCAGTCTTCAGTGGGGATAAGGGTGGCTGGGGCACGGTGGTTGTCCCCAGGGAAATGGTGGGAAGGTCAGGGCAGTCAGAGCAAGAGCAGAACTGTGGAATCCCCTCTGAAAAGCCCTGGCTGTGGGACCATCCTCCAGCTGGAGTGAATCCTTCCAGCTGGACAGTGCCATGGGCTGACAGGGATCCAGCTGCCCTCCTGGATCCAGGCCGGGGGACTCAGGAATCCCTCTGGGAAGGCCAGGGCCTCATCCCAGCACCATAAGGGAATGAAGACCCCATGGCAAACCTCACCAGAGAGACCACAGCCCCCTCCATAATAGAGCCCTTGAGAGCAGCTGCCCCTTGCCTGAGACCCCCAGTGCCACCAGCCACGACTGCAGTGATGGCCATGGCCCCCAACAGCATCTTAAAGGCCAGTGCTGACCCTGACCCCCAGCCCCACGTCCACCCTCTACCCCGGGTGCCCCCTCTCAGTGCCAACACTCACCATGGCAGGCGGGTAGGCTGCCCCACATCACGGGGGTCGCAGATCCCACCATGGGTCCCAGCTCCACCGTGTCCCCGGGACCGTACGTGGCAGCAAACAACAGGGACAGGCTCTGACACCAATGTCCATCCAGGGTCCTGGTCAGACCAGAACGTCACCCTATTCCCCGGTCCCTAATCCCTTCCGGGATGAATCAGGTCCCATGAAAACACCGAGGGACCGGTTGGGGCGCAGGTGCCCGCGGGCTGGGCGCTGCCTGGGGCTCTCTGGTGAATCCCGGTGCTGCCGCATCCGGCATCCCGGCACGTGTGAGGCGGCTCAGCCGTGCCGGCCCCGCTCCGAGCCCAGACTGGCTCTGGCAGCCCCTTCCCCGGCTCCCGGCCGTGGCCACGCCGTGTTGTCCCCATGCCCTGAGGGGCAGGTGATGATCGGGGCTGCATCGCGACGGCTCGGTCGTGAGGCACGCGGGGTTTGGGCAGAGGGTCGGGCGAGACGTGGGGACACACACAGAGAGCCACGCACCAGCTGGAGATTCCACGTCTGCAGGCAATGAGCAGATAAAGACGGCACCGGGGAACACGGCACGGGACGAGCCCCGGCGCCTCCCACACCGCCCCCGGCCCGAGGAGAGCCCCCCGCACCGGTTCCCCCTGTTCTGGGACCCTCCGGACTCCTCGAGGAGTCCAGTCCAGGCCGTGCAGTGCGAGCGGACACCAGGAGAGGGACCCACCGCCCCGACAGAGCCGCGCTCCGGGACCGGGAGGGAGCCGGGCGACAAAGGGGACATCAGTGGGGGTGATAAAATGGACCTGGAGAGTGAGGGAGGGGACACCAGTGGGGGTGACAGAGGGGACTCATCCGATGATGGACAGGTTCATCCACAGGGACCCCCAGAGCCCTGACACCCCGCTAAGTGCCCCCCATTGCTGTGTCACCACCAGGACAGGGCTGGCTGGGCCAGGCAGTGTCCAGGCTCCCCAAGGCACATCCCCCTGCCAGGGGATCTGCTGGACTAGGGAACCACGAGCAGGCAGGGGACACACTCAGAGCTGTGACTGTGAACATGCAAACACACACAAACACCTGTGCAAAGGCTCTCACATAAACACACCTGTGCCCAGGGCCAGTCAACCCCTGCCAGCACCAACCCCCCAGCTTCAGAACCCTGCGGGGCCTAAAGGGTCCCCCCAGGGCAACAGGAGCCCCTCCAGGCACCCCAGTTTTCTCCCGCCAGGCTCGTACAGATCCGGTACAGGAGCTGTGTGGTCCTCGAGGTGTTTGTGAGTCATGGGGCAGCTCAGGCCAGTGCTGCTGCCTGGGGCATCCCCAGCCCGAGGGCTTGCACAACCCTTGATGCAACTTCCTTCTCCCAAAATGTTTCTGTCTCCACAGGCAGGGGTTGCACCAGGAAGAGCTGGAGCCGCTGGGGCAGCACCAGTGGGGCCGCAGAGAGCAGCACCCCAGGACTTGTTCCCCACCCCCTAGGACACTGCAATGCAAAGCAGCCCCTACAGCACCAGCCCTGCACCCCAGCCCTGACACAGCAGCGACTGTGGGAGCCCTGGGAAGGCTGCGGGGTGCAAGTGGCTCAGTCGGAAAATGGAGTGAGGGAAGCCCACCCTGCAAACTCACCACTGCCCAAAGAGATGGGGACCCCCACACTCCCTGTCTGGACACAGATTCCCACACCTGGTTCCCAGCACTGTCCCCTCTGTCTCATCATCCTATCAAGGTACCTGACCAGGGGAAGATGCATCCCAGTGCTGCTGTTTTATCCCACCACAGAAACTGGTGTGCAGTCTTTCCTCCTGTGTCCGCCCCCTAATACCCAAGGGAGTGAAGGAGGGAGTGAGATATGGACCACACGGGAGCCACTGGGAGAGGGTCTGTGGGCTCTGGGAAAGGCCAGCACACAGGGAATTGGGACCAACCTGTGAGATGTTCCCTCCCCAGCACCACCACAGGGGCCCAGTCCCTGTACCCCACAGCACACCCACCCAGTCCACACTGGTCTGCACAAGCCCCTCCAGTTCGATGGGGGCTCACATCCCCGGGGCTGGACCCTCACAAACCCCAGGGGAGGGGTGTGAGGGGCAGGAAGAAGAGGCATGTGTGGTCATCAGGGCTTGTTTAATAACAAAACTCCAGCTATTGTAGAACAATATTCTCCAGCATCATTGTAATATACAATACGGGGAATGCTCTCAGCAATCTGAGAAGGAAGGATACGGCCCGCGGCACCCCCTGCCCAGACTGCGGGGGGATCCCCAGGGCAGCGCTGCCGGGGGCCAGGGATGCAGGCGAGCCGTGGCGCTCGGGGTCGGGATCCCGGGGACGAACGAGGTCCGTGGCGGGGCCGGGGTCCCGGGGATGTCGTCCGTGGCGGGTCCCGAGCGGTCTCAGCGGCAGAGGATCCGGTCAGCAGCGGGAATGCACGGAGCCTGCGGGAAAGGGGGACGAAGCCGCCAGTCAATACTTGTCAGAGGGGTTTCGAGGACGGCGGGGGTGGAAGGGGGCAGGAGGAAAGGACACCCCTGGGAAGGAGAGGGAGCAGTGCGGATCGTGGGAAGGAGGGTCCGGGGTGCTGCCCGGCGGGAGCGCGGGACCGGGTCGGTGCCGAGGGGTCCGCACTCACCTCGGGGGGATCCCCGGCGGCGGCGGGGCGGGGGGGCCCGCACTGCAGCGCCAGCTGCAGGTCCCAGATGTAGTCGATAACGTGCTGCAGAAGCTCCACCTTGGAGACCCGCCGGTGCCTCGGCAGCGTCGGCACCAGCGCCCGTAGCCGCGAGTAGCAGCCCTTCATGTCGTACAGCAGCGCGGCGGCCGCCTGCTCCGCCACCCCGGCGGACACTCCCGGCACCGGCCCGCAGCGGGCGGCCTCCCCGGGCCGCACGGCCTTCAGCGCGCCGCCGGCGCCCGCGGGCAGCGGCGAAGGAGCGACAGCAGCGACCTTCATGTCTCGGGGCGGCGGAGCCGGGCGGGACGGACGGCGCTGGGACCCTGCGGAGGAACAGCCGACCTCGCGCCCCGCCGCGCCAATTATAGAGCGCCGCCGACCGGTGGGCGTGGCCGCGCGGAACGCCTCGACCAATAGTGACATTCAAACGCCCGCGAAGGGCGGTGTCTTAAAGGGGCAATGGCGGGGAACGGGCGGTGGCGGATTTGGGCTGTGGGAGTTACAGGGGTGCGGAGCGCCCGCTCTCCCCCGCCATTAGCGCGGGTAATTGGTCCGCGGGCTCCTGGTGTCGGGCTCCCCGCAGTCCCGCTCGCCCCTCGATCCCTCCATGCCCCCGGTGCCCCTCCGGGAGCTCGGCCCCCCCGCGCTCCCCGCGCCCCCCCGCGCTCCCCGGCGGCTCAGACCGTGAGACGCCAGGGCCGTGACGTCACCCATTCATAAAACCCCGCGCGCTGTCAGCGCGGCGCCGGGCGGGCGGTGCCCATGGCGACGGGGGCGGGGTGGGGACACACACCTGCAGCCCCCGCGGGGGGCTCGGGGACCCCCACGGAGACAGCGCCACCCCCACGGGGACAAGGGGGCACCGAGAACCCCGCGATGGGCACCGGAACCCTCGCGGGGGCACCGGGACCCCACGGGAGGCATCGGGACCCCAGGGTGACACGGTCACACGGGCATCCCCACCGGGGAAATTCTGTTCCTTGTGCCCCCCTCCATCCCCGGTTCGGTGTCTCCCGCTCGCAGCCCAGTCCCGGCGCTCAAACCTCCGTGGAACTGCTCGGTGGCAGCTGCCGGGGCGAGGGTCGCCAGGTTTGGGTTCACTGGGGAGCGGGCAGGAGGGTCGGGCGCTGGGTGCGTGGGGCAGCGCGGGCACGATCCTGCTGCCGGGGAAAGCGGCGGAGGTCCCACTGGTGTGGCTGCAGCCTCCGCACGAGACAGCCAGTCCCTGCCCCGAAGGGCTCCCGGTCCGGGATGTAATCAGGGTGACTGCTGTCATGTCAAACCTGTGATGGTTTTAGTCTAGGCCTTCCTGGTGACCAGTTTGTAACCAAGGAAGTAGCCAAGTACCCAGTATTCCATACAATTTTTACGTAAACCAGAGTATAAATAAATCGGAGATTAGAGACCTCGCTCTCTTCTCTTCCGGCGAGGTTTGGGAACAGTGGGTCCCTGCGTTGGTCTCGCTTATCTAAGGCTGAGGCCTGCAGAGTCCACCGTCCTACCACGTGAAAGTTTGGAGAGTGCTGGCTGTAACTGCCGATCCTGCTGTTCTAAGGGATGTAGTGAGATCTGTTTTGTTAGTTATTAATATAGTTTGATCTAGTATACCTGTTCGGTGTCCCTTTTGTTCCCTTTCGTCCCCTTTTTTCCCCTTTCCCTATCCCTTCGGGGGGTGGACCCCCTTTTACTGTGTATATAGCATCTTAACTATACATAATTGAAATTTATGTAAATATAGATATATTTTTATATAAGCAGCTTGACTTTAGGTTCTTTAATTTTTATAATTTCTTTTTCCTTTAACTTAAGGGCAGAAAAGAGGGGGAAAGGGGGCTGCTGGCGTAACTTTCGGGCATTTGGCAGGAAGCAAAGTCCAAACCGTCACAACCCCGCACCTGCGGGAGGGCAGGCAACGCTCCGGGACGGCCCTGAGCTGGACCCCAGCACACGCCGAGCAGCGTGAAACGGTGCAGAGGGGAGAGCAGGCAAAGCTGCAGCCTGTACGCTCACGGGTTTGTGCACGCGTGAACAGAAGCACAGGTGGGACATACCCAAACACATGCACAGGAAAACTCACGCACGTAAACCTACAGAGCACAAACACAGCCACAAACAAACAAGGATGGATGCACATGCAGTACACACACACACACACACACGTGTGTGTGCACATCCATGCACTCCCATGCACCCGTACACTCCACCTTGCACACCAGTGTGTGTGCCCAGGTGCCAGTGCAGCCCCCCTACCCTTTGTGGGGGTGGGTTTGGGGGTAAACACTCCCGTGCCTGGCTTTGCCTCCCCAAGCATGCAGGGAGCCGAGGGGCTCGCCTCCTCTTCCTCCTCTGGAAGGGGAGAAGCAGCAATCCTGGGGAGCATGGATGGAATTCAACCTTGCCAGCCTGGCTGGGGGGGAGCTGGATCACTCTGTCCCCCCTGTCCCTCCCTCTGTCCCTCCTCCCTGTGTCCCCCAGCCCGGTGCGGTGGCGGTTCCCAGGGTGGGCACGGCGCTGGGGTCGCCCCCTCCATTCAGGGCTCGGCGGAGGGCCCGGTGCTGCCCGGTTCCCACCGCGGCTCTCAAAGCTGCTAATTAGCCCCCATCTGGCGGCAGTGGCCGGGCCGCGGCGGGAGGCCGGGGACATTGTGCGCAGGAATGTCTTTCAGGGCCGCCGGCCGGCCGCCGCCACCGCCAGCTGCGCCGCCAACAATGCCGGGACGGGCCGGACCCCGCGGCCCCGGGCACCGGCCACCCCGGGCGGCGCGGGTACCGGGACGGCCTTCCCGGCCGTAGTGGGGGTCACGGCACTCGTGGCACAGCCGCCCTGGCACATGTGGAACAACCACTCCAGCCGCCCCTGCCCACGGGATGCCCCCGGACAGCAGGACACCCTCGCCCCGTCCCTGAGTGTGTTGGGGTGCTGGGGATGGGGTGCCGGGGGTTGGGGCTGCCGGTGTGGCTCCGGGACGCTGCTGTGTCCACAGCTGGCCGCGGGGTCCCGGCGTGGCACAGCGCAGCAGTGTTGTCCGGCAGAACACAGAGCTTCATTTCCATCTCAATTCTGGGAACGGGGCGTGCGGAGCGGTAACAGCGGCCTCGGCCATATGGCGCTGGCGGGGCTCAGCCCGGCCGGGGGGGCAGCCGGGGGGCGGCTGCTTTGCGCTGAGCAGGGGTTGCCCGGCAGCCGAGCACATCAAAGCCCCCGGCCGCCCCCTCCTCGCCACGCCGGGACCACACAGGGCACGGCCGCGCCAGGCCGGCGAGGGGCCGCGGGGCTGCCTGTGCTGCTGTGATAGTGGGGACAGGGTACAGTGGGCACCCTAGGACCAGCAGCACCCAGTCCTGGCAGCACCCAGCCCCCTCCACTCTGGCATGCAGGGCTGGGAGCAGGAGCAGGGAAGGCAGCACAGACAGCACAGGTCAGGTTGGGGCCCCCCCAAGTGACCAGGACCCCCAAACTGGGGCTGTTCCTGCCCTGGCTGGGGTTGAGCTGTATCCAGGTCCCCTCTCCCGGTGCCATCCGCAGGTCAGCCCTGGGGCTGCACTGAGCCTCCAGCCCCCCATGTCCGCAGGACGAATCTGAGCCAGGGTTGCAGATGTGCCGGGGCTGCCGGCACAGCTGGAGCGGGGCCGAGGCCTGAGAAAGCCCCTGCGCATTCCCCTCCCGCCTTCTCCCTTCCCGTTCCCAGCTCCATCCGCTGCAGCCCAGACCAGCTGGAGCCAGGCAGCCCTTCCTGGGATTTATTCCAGCTTCCTGCCCCTCCTCGCCGGCAGGCCGGGGCTGGGGCTGCTCTTGGCTGCTTCCTCTCCCCACTCGCAGCCGCCGTCCGGGCGCCACTGCTGGCACCCACCGCCCCGTGGGACCCTGGGTCTCACCACCAGCACCCACCACCCCGTGGGACCCCAGCTGTCACCACCACGGCCAGGCATCCCCAGCTCTGCCTTGTGGGGCACGAGGTGCAACTGCAGCACCCATCATCACCCATCCCACCAGCTGCATCCCTGCTGCAGTGGGGAGGCTCCACAGGGCTCTTGGGACAAGCAGCCTCAGTGTGTCCCCCTCCTTACCCCAGGCACCAGCACCCCTCCAAACATGAAACCACCGTCCCCTTGCCTGGTGTCTGCACCCAGGTGTGCCCCCTGTGCACTCCCAGCTCAGCCCCTCCCACCCCACTGCAATTCCCAGTGGGAGTTTGGCATGAGGAGAGGGTGCCCAGAGCTCACTCCCCTGGCCAGTGGGCACCTACACCACTGCCTCGAGGGGAGGTGGGTGGGTGGGTGAGGACCATCCCAAACCCCACAGCTGCTGGCAGCAGAACAGGCAGCTCTGGCCCCTGCCCTGGCCGGGTGCAGATAAGTGGATGGAGGTTTCCTGCCAGAGCCAGCACATCCATGTTTCCACAGCCCCCTCCCCGAGCCAGAAGGATCCCGGGGAGAGGGGAAGGTGACCCAGCAGAGGTCCAGACTCAGTGGAGCCGTGTGGCCGCGGCAGTGCCGGGAGCGGAGGTGCCACAGGCCCAGGTGCAGCAGGCGAGGGAACCAGGGACTGCCGTGGCGCCGGCTCTGCTGGCGGCTCCTTCCAGAGCCCAGCACACACTTCCTTCCTCCTGGCCAGCCCCAGCTTATCGGCCGGGCAGGGCAAAGGGCGACCCTGCTCTCCCCTCCACAGGCCTTCCGCTTCCCTGAAGCCCTGGGAAAGCTCCTGGCCACAGTCCCACCACACCTACAGCGGGCACGAGCCCCATGCCCTGAGCTTTGTAGGGCAGCAGGGAGGGAGGAGAGTGGGCAATGCTGGCGCTGGGGGTACCTTGAGCACCCCCCAACCTGCTCCTGCACCCCTGGGGGGCTCTGGAGGCTGCGTGCGAGGCCATGGGGACGGCAGCTCACACCACCCGAAGACAGGGAGGATGAAGAGCCTCACAGGACGCGTTGTCAGCCCCACACCAGGGGACAGACACACACCCGCATGCCATGGTGGGGAGGGGGTCCTGGCTTGGGGCAGGGTGCTGAGCCCCACAGCAGAGCCAGAGTCCTCTTCCACGGAACACTGGAGGCTGGTGAAATCACATCTGGAGTCTAGACTCAGCGACTCGGTGGGCCGGGCCTGGCGGCCGCGCTGTGCCCAGGCCCTGCTGCACACTGTTTGCTTAGCTGGAGGTATTTAATTGGAATTAAAGTGGCCCCTCTTGTTTTTGCGGACAGGGCTGTTGGAAAAGGAGCTGTAAGTCATAGAAAACATCTGTAGGAGCCTGCGAAGGGTCATTAGATGGCAGAACGCGAGGCGCCACTTTTAGTGCTCGCAGCCGGCGCGGGGAAT